CGGCTGAATACAACTCTTATCGATGTTTAAGATCTCCAAGGGATTGTCTAACGTGATCAACTTGCAAACAAGAACTACGAAACGTTTGAACCCTTATCGGACAAGGCTAGATGTTCGATCTTACCTACCCTAATATCAGGGGTGTGGTTGAAAGACAGCAGTAAGAAAGAGCCAGGAGTAGCAGTAGAAAGAGTCAAGAGCCCAGAGGAAGGTGGATTGTGTGTGTGTGGGGGGGGGGGGCGAAAGTGGAAATAAAAGCTGATGACAGGACAGGATTTGAGAGCAAGAAAGGATGTGAAATTATAAAATTTAGGGAAGAAAATATTACATTACGTCGCTGTTATGTGTCAGGTTTCTAGACCACCAAAGAGCCATAGTCGCAACTCAATTATTCTCAAGAAAATTACAAATCTAATAGCTAAACATCAAGCTATTGGGGAAATAGCACGCCCCCCTCCCGGTCCCCCTTCAACCCATAAGTCCCCACCCCCACCCGGGATAGCTCCAAAGCGCTGGAGATAACCACGCAATTAGGCTGAGCGTAACATGGGTAGTTCGAATAACAACCGTTTTGCGCAGTGACGCGAGAAATTTTCTAGGTAACTAACGATGGAGGGATATGCAACCCAAATAGTCGCATACGGAGAATGGTAGCCCCTCGATATAAGTGAGGCAGCGGGGTTGAATCAGGCTCTCGTCAAAATAATCAAAGTGAAGAAACTTGCATTTTTCCGCAGGTTTGTGAATTTTTATCAAATATTTGTTTTTGGGCTCAACACCTTTTATGGCCATTAAAGAACTCATTTCTGTGTGGATTTTTACTGAAAAACGTTGATTAAAGGCACAAAAGATATACTTATACAGTTACCACGGACTCTTAAGCTAAAGAAATAACTAATCTTTTTCAGCCATTTTCTCACTAATTTTACCTCTGAAAACAGGTGAACCCCACCTCCTTCATTCACGAATATCTCGACTTGCATTTAAGATAAACGGATATTTTTTTCATCCATATAAAGAGAAGTGAACAAGCTTTAAGATGATACCAATAACTCTATGTGCCCAAAAATTGACGAGAGCCTGATTCCACCACGCTGCCTCACATAATATACATACTGGGGCAAGTGGGGGATGTTCTCTTGACTTTTACCCCATTTTGCTTGAATTTGTCTGCTCTCGGTGTCACATTGCTGTGGTATGGATGCTACACTTTTTTTAAATCCTAAAAAACAAACAAAACAACAAAAAATGGCAGCAACAAAAAGAAAAACAACAAAAGCCCACATGAGTTCAAATTATAATGGGGGT